CTGCACCAGCGGGGGTTCCTCCGGCCTGCACAGCGGGGTCCTCCGGGCCACACCAGCGGGGGTCCTCCGGGCGCACCCAGCGGGGTCCTCCCGGGCCGCACCCAGCGGGGGTCCCTCCCGGCGCACCCCGCGGGGGTCCCTCCCGGCCGCACCCAGCGGGGGTCCCTGGGTGCGTGGCAGCGAGCAGCGCGGCCCCAGCCCTCGGGTTCAGTCCTCACGTCTCTCCCGGTCCAGGACCTGCACTTGGACCCCCATCAGCGTTTGGTCCTCAGTGAGGAGCCTTGTGAGGAGCACAGAGCAGCGAGAAAGGCCGGATGGTAAGCGGACGGCGCCTCTGACAGCAACGAAACTTATTTTTTCAAAACCGATGATGAAAATGACACCTGAGGGGGCTCCTTTGCCAGGTTTTTGCTCCGACAGCGCCTTCACATTGCCCTGCAACCCGCTGTCCTCGGTGGTGGGATGTGCATGGTGCGGCCCCTGCCCACACGCACCGCTGCTGATGGATGCCTGCCTGAGTCGCTCCTCTAACCGGAAAACAAGTAGAAAAACATGTAGTCTTGTCTTGTTTTTGTTAATCCTCCCTCACCCGAGGATATTTTTATTTTTCCCATTGATTTTTCTTCCTTGAGATAGTAGAAGGGAGGGAGGGGTCCGAGAGAGAGAGAGAGAGAGAGAGAGAGAGAGAGAGAGAGACTGACTGGTTGGGCCCTGGATCAAACCTGAACCCAGGTCCGTGCTCTTGACCAGGAATTGAACCCGAGACACTTTGGTCCGAGGGCCAACGCTCTAACCCCTGAGCACACTGCCCAGGGCAGCCCTTTGAAAGTGTAATGAGTTAGGTTTCCTGTCAGGTTTTCCTTGTCTTGGTGTTTTTATTTTTAAGCTAGAGGCCTGGTGGGTGCAGGACATTCGTGCACTGGGGGTAGCGGGGGGCAGGACGGGGTGTCTCTCAGCCCTGCCAGCACCCTCTGGCAGTCCAGGACCCCTTTGGGGGATGTCTGCTTTCCACGGGGAACAGGCCTAAGCCGGCAGTCGGACATCCCCCCTAGGGGTCTTTAGCTCTGCATAGAGCAGTGGTTCTCAACCTTCCTAATGCCGCGACCCTTAATACAGTTCCTCATGTTGTGGTCACCCCCAACCATAACATTATTTTTGTTGCTACTTCATCACTGTAATGTTTCTACTGTTATGGATCGTAATGTAAATATCTGATATGCAGGATGTATTTTCATTGTTACACGTTGAACATAATTAAAGCATAGTGATTAATCACAAAAAAAATATGTAATCATATATGTGTTTTCCAATGGTCTTAGCTGACCCCTGTGAAAGGGTCTTTTGACCCCCAAAGGGGTTGTGACCCACAGGTTGAGAACCGCTGCCGTAGAGGCTCCCGCCTCTCCTGCTGCATTCACCAGCCATGAGCCCGGCTTCTGGCTGAGCTGCATTCCCAGACCACCAGGCAGCAGCTCCTGTGTTGAGTGTCTGCCCCCTGGTGGTCAGTGTGTGTCATAGCAACCTGTGGTTCGGCCATTCGGTCGATTTGCATATTACCCTTTTATTAATATAGGAAGGATCAGTGGTTACTTTAGCTTATTTCTGGTATATGTGTAACATAAGGTAAATGAGAAGAAAAACTCCACAGTTCTATGACCTCTGTTTCATAAGGTGTTCAGGCTGTGCTGTTACAAAAATACGCATCGAGCCTGGAGTGGCAGTCCACCAGTGTAAATGCCGCTTCGCCAAGCTGTTGGCCCCTGTTTCTTCACCGACAGATGGGAGAATTAACCTGTGAGAAGAGGGTGAGAACATTGTCTGCCTTGTAGGGTGGTGTGAGGCCTACGGGAGATCAGACAGGTAAACGGTTAGAGTAATGCCTTACCCGGACTGAGATCTAATAAATGTCTGCTGTTCGCATTAGTTACAAAAAGTACGCTTGCTGAAGGAGAGGCGTTTCCTGATGAGTCTGACGCTCTCGTGTCAGGAATTTCCACTGCAAGCTAACTTCCTGAGGCCCAGTCCCTCGCGCCCCACCCTCTTCTCTGCCCGTGAAGTCGAGATGAAGGGGAGGTTTAGCTGAGTTTGGGCCCGTGTGCTCTCTCGCATCAATTGGCATAAAATTGGAAATTGTACCAGCTGTTTCACAGCTGAACCCCACCCTTTCAATAGTTGCTCTTACACATTTAATTTTCAACAATGATTTCTAGTTTTTATTTCTGCATTTTGAAAATCTCAAAGGTAATTGTAATTAAAATAAACGTATATTATAAAACTCTAGCAATTTAGGTCTGTGGCAGAACAGATACATAAATTCTCAAAAAGTGATGGGTCATCCTCATTCTAATTTATTTTATTTTGTTTTTCTTAAATATATATTTTATTGATTTTTTTACAGAGAGGAAGGGAGAGGGATAGAGAGTTAGAAACACTGATGAGAGAGAAACATCCATCAGCTGCCTCCTGCACACCCCCTACTGGGGATGGGTCCGCAACCAAGGTACATGCCCTTGACCGGAATCGAACCTGGGACCCTTCAGTCCACAGGCCGATGCTCTATCCACTGAGCCAAACCAGTTAGGGCTCTAATTTATTTTTTATTTCAGAGAGAGCAAGGGAGAGAGAGAGAGGCTGTCCCCAACCAGGCATGTGCCCTGACTGGGAATCGAACTGTGACCTTCTGGTTCATGGGTTGATGCTCAACCACTGAGCCACACTGGCTGGGCTCATACTCATTCTAAAAGTTCATGATATCAACTGATTTGCAAAGTTAGATTGGGAATTTCTTTTTATAATGTATTTTTTTTTTATTGATTTCAGAGAGGGAGGGAGAAACATCAATGATGACAGAGAATCATTGATTGGCTGCCTACTGCAGGCCCCACACCAGGCTTCAAGCCCACAGCCCCCAGCGTGTGCCCTGACCAGGAATTGAACCGTGACCTCCTGGTTCATAGGTCGACGCTCAACCACTGAGCCACCCGGCTGGGCAAAAATATTTTTGAAAATTTGAGACCCACGTCTTTGAAATTGCAATTTGTGATTGTTCCCCTCCCCGACCCCATAGCTTTTCTACTGTTTATAATAACTGCTGTGAAGGCTGCTTTTTAGTTCACAATCTGTAGATTATATTTTAAAGTATTCCAAAGAGCATATTATTGTAATTCAAAGAGCGTAACGTGACAAATCTATGGAATGCACACATCTACAGTGAAACAAATATTTTCCTCTGTTAAAAAGAAAACTTTGGAAATGTGCTAATTTTATTTCCATTGTCCATGTAGCTGCATTTCACTCTTCCAACCCATGGAAATACAACTACTTAGCAGCTGAAAAATTCAGACCAACTGTGTTAATTTATGAAGAGTTTTTAAAGTAAAAATGGATTATCCGTAGCGTTTTGGTAGTTGTAAAGGAATTGAGTGTCTTACTAGGAACACCCAGCTGACTCTCCACAGTGGAGACGCTGCGTAAATGGCTTGTGAGGCCTAATGTAAGTGTACTGAGTGTAGTGGGCATAGTCTCCAAACAGCCAAGTATAATGTTTGTGTGTCATAAAGTTTAGAATATTTTGTTACCTGAGATGTCGGCAAGAAGTTCCTTTTGCTTGATTAGTTGTTATTTCTGCCTCTATTTTCCCATTTGATCTATAGGCCCTGGCAAGTAATTCTTAAAACAGTTTCTGTGTATGTTGCTACATGGCTTTAAAACTTTTAATTATCGTCTATAATAAAGGGCTAATATGCAAATTGTCCCCTCGGTGGTTTGACCGACTGGGAGTTCGACTGCTCACTATGATGTGCACTGACCACCAGGGGTGGCATGGAACGAGGGAAGGCCCCAGCTGGCAGCCAGCAGCGGGGGGAAGGCAGGCCCCAATCAGCCCTGATGGCCTGCCCGTGCACGAATTTCGTGCACCAGGCCTCCCGTCAGAGAATAAGGTCCCAATACCTTTGATAGTCAGCATTCTCTGATGTGGCATCTAGTCACCAATCTTGGTTTCTCTCTAGCAACCGTCCTGTAGCTTTCTCTGTTTCAGCAGCCTGTTCTGCGCAGTATTCTCACACGAGTCACGTACATTCCCATCTGCAGGTTTTTCCCGCCGCCACTTCGGTGATTGGTATGTCGTCTTTGCCTCTCCATTCACTGAAGACCCCACAGAGCTTCAGGGCTGAGCTCATGTTCTGTTCTCTTCAGAGGTTTCCAAGGGGTTTGCTTTTTTCTCTGAATTTCTTTCAGTTATTCCCTCTCTACTACTCATTCAGAACCCACATTACAGAATGCACATCCTAATACATATAAAGAGCTAGGTGCCGTCACGACCGAACGGGCGACTGGTCACCATGAAGTGCATGGAGCACCTCTCGGTCCCCCCCCCCACCCCGCCCCAAGCCCCCGAGCCGCTCACTATGGGGGGTGCTGGCGGTGGGGTGGGACTGGGGACTGTTGAGCGGCGGTGGCGGGCTGCTTCGCGGGGTGGCTGTGAGTTTAGCAGAGCAGTCATGGGGCGGGCAGCGAGTTTCACAGAGCAGTCACGGGGTCGGGGGAGAGGGAGTTTCATGGAGCGTTCAGCAGTGAGCTTCGTGGGGCGGCAGCAAGCCTCGCGGAGCAGTCGCAGGTTTGCAGAGCATCTTGGGGCGGGGAGCTTCACCTAGCGTTACAGGGCGGCAGAGGCCATGCGACGGAGGCCAGGCTAGGCCCAGGGACCCTAACTGCACGATTTCGTGCACGCTGGACCTCTAGTATGTATATATTTGTATATGTTTTAAATATATCTGCATGTATTAATATTATGTTGTGTGTGTGGTTTTCTCTTTTTTTTTTAGTTTCTCAGCCAGAGGTGCACACTTAGGGAAGGTGCAGATAGCATAGTAATACATTTGTTCTGTGCGTACAGGTTTGTCATTGGAGTAATCCTGTATTTAGTTGGTCTGTTTAGCAATATTCTGCACAGTTGCCACCAGATTTTTCGTTTTTAATCACATATTCTGAATCCATGGAATGATCTTGAAAGATACTTTGATACTTTGACAGTAGAAGATGGTCCTAACAGACATTTTTCTTTGGTATGTTTCTTATGAGACTACATCGCAGGACTTGCCTTTTGTAGAGTCTTCTCTGGCCTGTACCTGAAGCTTTATGAAAATAAAACAGCACATGCCCTAGAGCAGCGGTTCTCAACCTGTGGGTCGCCAACCTGTGGGTTGTGACCCCTTGGGGGTCGAATGACCCTTTCACGGGGGTTGCCTAAGACCATCAGAAAACACATATATAATTACATATTGTTTTTGTGATTAATCACTATGCTTTAATTATGTTCAATGTGTAACAATGAAAATACATCCTGCATATCAGATATTTACATTACGATTCATAACAGTAGCAACATTACGGTTATGAAGTAGCAACGAAAATAATGTTATGGTTGGGGGTGACCACGACATGAGGAACTGTACTAAGGGTCGCGGCATTAGGAAGGTTGAGAACCGCTGCCTTAGATGATCCTGCCAATGGCTGGGCCTGCTGGCGGCTCTCTGTGTGGGATAACAATCCTGTCCCGTACCCCCCCCCCCCCCCCCCCGCTGGTTCTCCAGCTGGGAGCCAGCCCCTGGTGACCTGGCTGAGCAGCGTGGAGCTGGTAAACCCACCACTCCGCATCCCAGCCTGTCACTCAGCGCTGCCGAGGCACTGTTATCGCCACCGCTGTCGCCACCGCTTTATCCCCATGTCGAACCAGCACTTAATGCCTGTGCAGACATTTAAATATTAAGTAAGCACTTACCTTTTAAAGGTTAATGAGAAGTGATCTCAGTGAAACGAAACTTGCCTATTACTCATACATTTTAAACGTGAATCAACTGTTTTTACAGAGCGATGCCGTTTCTGGGCCAGGACTGGCGATCTCCTGGATGGAGCTGGGTTAAAACGGAGGACGGCTGGAAGCGCTGTGAGCCCTGGCGGCAGGACCTGGACCGAGAGAGCCCCCAGCGCAGCGTCCCGCACAGCATGTACGCGCAGCCCTGCCGGCCCGCCTGGCGCCCAGGGGTCATTTTCTCTTCCAGGCGCTGCAAGCTCTGTCACTGTCGTTTGGCTGCGAGTTGCCCTCGCCCAAGGCTGGTGGGAGGAGGACGTTCTGCAGCTCAGGTCTGAGCCAGGACGTTGCCTGGTTCCCACACGTAGATGCTGCTTTGTTACCGAGCGAGGGTCACTGCCCGACACCACGGAAGCCAGTGCTACGAGGAAAGAAAAGACCTTCCATTGTGAGGCCAGCCGGCCAGGCTCCTCTCTGTCCCCTGACCGGGTCCAGGGAAGGTTCAGGGGCCACGGGGCACAGGCAGTTGTGGAAGTGCTGGCAGGTTTCAGTGGGCCTGTTTTTGGAATTCCACCAGAAGGCCCCTGTCTGCGGTTTTGGCTTGGTTTTTGTGAAGGAGGGGTCTTGAGGCACAGTGTGGGGTCCTATCTATGAAGAGTCCATAGCGTTGCCTGGGGATTCAGTGCCGTTCCCTGTGGGCTCTGGGAAGCTGAGATGGCACGGAGGCGCAAGGCCACGTGCACTGTATCCTGCGCTGCCCGAACAGGACCCTTCTAGGGTTTCCCCTTTGCGTTTAACTTATTAAATCTTCATTGCATTGTTTTTACTTACATCTCATTAACATTCAGTTTCCTGTCCGAATTTGAATATTTTATGATTTATTTTGGTTACTTGGTTCACTGGCATAGCAGTGGAGGTCATCAGAGACCTGGGGATTATCTTCAACTCTAGTCGTACCCAAGATATCCCAAGAGTGGGATTCTCTAAAAAAACAGACATTTTTAAATTGTGTGTCTTCCAAGGAAAAAAGGAAAGAAACTGCATTTTTGGTTCCCTTACAAAAATGCAAAAACAGTCTCTGGTCAACACCAGGTCAGAGAATCCAGGGGCCCACTAGCCCTTGAAGTAAGAACTGTGCTCAAGGCCTCAGCCCCGGGAGACGCTCCTGTCCCCGCTCCTTTACTTAGACACGTGACTCTGCTGGCAGCGTTGGTGGTGTTCCCTCGGGCTGTTGGGGGATGTGCGGCTTTCCGTTACAACCTGATGGCCTTCCTTATATTTTCTTCTTCGGTGACTAGGAAGGAAAATGTGGTTAGAAAGTTGGCACCGGCGTCAGACCAGCACTCGCCCAGGGCATTTGTGTACCTGCCTGCTCAGCGGGGCTGCATCTGGACTCGGAGGTCTGTCCTGGCCGCCTGTGTCAGTGACAAGCCAGCAGGCGCATCAATGTCCTGACCTGTGTGGCAGGAGAAGTGAGAGTTCTTCAGCAGAAATCCTGTTCTGCACAGAAGAAACGTAGATTATGTATAATGTTTAAGGGACTTCGGGCCGTGAAAGGGTGAAAAGGAATAACATAGATAAGGATGAGTAAGCGCCATTTTTACCAAAGAAAAGGCATGAAAACATTTGCTTCAGAGAAATCGCCTTGGAGCCGCCAGAGAGGACTGCACTGAGCTGAGGGCCTGGAGAAGTCGGGGGGAGGGGACCGGGCCTGGCCTGCGAGGCTCCTGTGCTTGGGAGAGTGCGACAGGGCCAACGGTAGAGGCTCCTGTGCTTGGGAGAGCGGCTGACGGTAGATCTTCGGTGTTTGGGATTTTCCAGGAGGCGCCTGGCCCTGGACATGACTTTGTCGGGAGGTTGGGAGTCAGTCTGCTCAGGTTCTGGTTGGAGGCTCAGAGTGGGCAGGTGGTGGGTTTCTGGACCCGCGCTGTCATTTGGAGGTTGCCCAGCCTGTTCACATCGGGTCCCTGTCTTTTGTACTTGAGGAGCTTGAGTTGTGACGTCTCCTTCATTTCTGGTTATTTGAGTCTTTTTTTTCTTAGCTAAATGCTTGTCAGTTTTGTTTATGTTTTTTAGAAAACCAGCTCCTAGTTTCATTGATTTTTTTTTAAATCTCTATTTTGTTTATTTTTGCTCTGTTCTTCATTTCCTTTGTTCTTCTTTTTCTAGTTCCTTGAGGTGTGAAGTTAGGTGCTCATTTGAAAGCTTTCTTGTGTCTTGTTGAGGCTTTTATCACGGGAACCCTTTCTTAGAACTGCTTTGGCTGCATCCTGTAAGTTTTGGTGTATTTCCATTTTCATTCGTCTCAAGGTATTTTCATAATTTCTCTTTTGATTTCCTGTTTGACTCACTGGTTGTCCAATAGCGTGTTGTGTAATCACATATTTGATGTTCCTGTTTTATTCTTGTAATTGGTTTCAAGTTCATAAATCGTGGTCAGAAAAGGTACTTGATATGATTTCTTCTTTTTTTTAATCTTCAACCAAGGATATTTTTTCTATTGGTCTTTAGAGAGAGTGGAAGGGAAGAGGAGGGAGGGGAAGAGTGAGCGAGAGAGAGAGAGAGACAGGAACATCCATGTGAGAGAGACACCTGGATTGGCTGCCTCCAGCACTCACCCCGACTGGGGCGGGGATCACACCCCCAACCCAGGTACATGCCCGTGCCTGGAAATCTAACCTGAGACACTTCTATGCATGACTGATGTTTTAACCACTGAACACACTGACCAGGGCGCTTGATATGATTGCAATCTTAATTTCTTAAAGACTTGTTTTGTGGCTCAACATATGATCTGTCCTGGAAAATGTTCCATGTGTGCTTGAGCAGAATGTTCTCTTGCTTTTGCGTGGAAAATTTCGTATATGTAAAGTCCACCTGCGCTAACATGTCCTTTATGGCCAGTGTTCACATTGGATCGGGGACATGGCAAATCATCAGTCAGTGTCGGGTATGACCCTTCACATTAACGTTCCCAGAGTGTTTCCAGTTTGGTTTATAATCTCCCAGTTTTGTTTTTTTTTAAAGGAAGGCACTTCTTTTTTTAAAAAATACATATTTTATTGATTTTTTACAGAGAGGAAGGGAGAGGGATAGAGAGTTAGAAACATCGATGAGAGAGAAACATCGATCAGCTGCCTCCTGCACACCCCCTACTGGGGATGTGCCCGCAACCAAGGTACATGCCCTTGACCGGAATCAAACCTGGGATCCGTTAGTCCGCAGGCCGACGCTCTATCCACTGAGCCAGACCGGTTAGGGCTGTAATCTCCCTGTTTTAATGAAGCATTTTGAAGTCTGAAACCGCATTGGTTGAGCACATGAAAGCCCTTGGGACACTGGAACGTGCCTAGCACTTCCTGGGCTAGCATTCTCAGAAGAACCGAGATAAGGCTTAGGTTTCTCAAAAGAAAAAGAATACATTAGACATTAGCTGCGTAATGTCAAGCTGTGGTGTGTTGCTTTGAAAATGAACAGCTTGCTTTTCAGAATTCAACAAGGTTTTTATTTCGATCTCCTAAATTGCAAGCCAGATACTTACTATCATTTTTTAAAAGATAAGCCAAATGAAGATCCCCTATAAATATATTTTAATAAAATCTATCTTTATTTCAGAATCCTAAATAGTGAAGATGACGAAATATTTACTAGTGAGGAGCATGGATATGCATCCAAGAAAAGGAAAAAGGACCATTTTAGAAACGACAGCAATACTCAATGTAAGATCCTGTTTAACATGTTCTATTTTACTGGAATATGTTGGCACACTAAGTCACTTCCACACGCGCACAAGAAAGGCGGCCCAGAGGTCTTAATAGCCCTTCTCCAGTGTTGCCCACGGGACTAGTGATCAAAGCTTTTGCAGCTCAGTCATTTTTTTGTGTTTTTAAAAAATATGCTTTTACTAGAGGCCCAGTGCACGAATTTGTGTACGGGTGGGGTCCTGCCAGCCTTGCCCCAATCGGGGTGGATCGGGGCCCGGCCTGTCAGGAGGAGGAGACGGTGGGTGGTTGGCCAGCCGACCAGCCTGATCAGGGCCCCATCAGGGCTGGGCCAGCTGGGGGGAGTGGCCATGGGTGATTGGCCAGCAGGCCCTGCCCCTGATTGGGGTGAGGGGGCAGATTGGGGGCAGGGGTGGCCCTGGGGAGGGGCTGTGAGTAGTGGGTCGGCCAGCCCTGCCCCCAAATGGGGTGGCGGGGTTGATTGGGGGTCAGCAGCCATGGGAGGGGCCGTGGGAGGTTGGCCGGCCAGCCCCACTCCCTATTGGTGTGGGGGGGGCCGATCGGGGGTGGAACTGGCTGGGGAGAGGGGCTGCAGGCCGATCGATCGGGATAGTGGGAGCTGATTGGGGGTGGGGTTGGCGTGGGGAAGGGCTATGAGCAGTGGGCTGGCTGGCTCTGCCCCCGAATGGGGTGGGGGTGGCCAATTGGGGAACCAGTGACCTGGGGGAGGGGCCATGGGTGGTTGGCCGCCAGCCCTGCCCCTGATCAGGGTCGGGGGTGGGGGAGATCTGGGGTGGGGCCGGGTCGGGGGAGGGGCTGCAGGAGGTTGGCTGGCCGGCCCCACCCCCCTGATCCGGCTGGCTCGTTGGCTGCAGTGGGCATCCTGGCGACCGGTCGTTATGGCATTATGGTCGCTGGCTTTTTATATATATAGATTGATTTCTCAGAGAGGAAGGGAGAGGGAGAGATAGAAACATCACTGATGAGAAAGAATCATTAATTGGCTGCCTCCTGCACACCCCCTACTGGGGATTGAGCTCGAAACCTGGGCATGTGCTATGACCTCCTGGTTCATGGGTTGATGCTCAACCATTTTGTTAGTAAGATTGGCAAAAACAAAACAAAGGATAGCAAAACCCACTACAGAGCTCGCACATCCGAGCGACTGAACAGTGGTCACCATCAGTTTGCTGCCAGGCACTGAGGCCCAACCTGAGGCGTTTTGACTTTGGACTTTTGTGCAGGAGGCACTGCTGTTCGGAGCAAGACACAAACGTGGTCAGAGCTGGTTAGCCCCTGGGGGAGGCAGGCACTCCCCTTGCAGCCCCTGCTCTGCACTGAGCGCCTCTGTAAGCTGGGAGGAGTGGAGTGCTCCCGTGTAGTCAGTCTGCTGAGGAAGGTCGGGCCCTGTGTGGGGGGGAGTTATCATGACCCTTGAAACTTTAGGATTCAGTTACATGAAAAAATTTAATTAAATCAAATACAATTTAAAGGCAAGGACGGAAGAATAGGACTTTTTATTAATTATACTTTTATAATTATGTTTTCATATTTATAGTCATTAGTAACTAATTTTCTTCTAAGTTACTAAAAGTTGGTACTGTCTGAAAAATCATATTTCATGTAAAGATGTGTTTCCGCACCTCTTAAACTAACGTTAGGAAACAGAATTTGCCTAGCCAGTGTGGCTTAGTGGTTTAGCATTGACCTATGAACCGGGAGGTCATGGTTCGATTCCCAATCGGGGCACATGTCTGGGTTGTGTGCTTGACCCCAATGTGGGGCGTGCAGGAGGCAGCCGAGCCATGATTCTTTCTCATCATTGATGTTTCTATCTCTCTCTCCCTCTCCCTTCCTCTCTGAAATCAATAAAATTAAATTTAGAAAAAAAGAAACAAAGAATTCTGTTCACATTTAACAAGTAAAGGCATCTCAATCTGTATATCAGATAATTTTGTTAACTTATGCAACTATTTTAAGTTCCTGAAAATCTTCATTTTGAAATTATTCCCCAGATTTTAAGAACAAAGTTAATTTCTGTTGTAGGTTTTTTTCGTGAAAAATGGATCTATGTCCACAAAGAAAGCACAAGAGAAGTAAGTATTCTGTTGTGAGTAAGCGGATATGTTTTGTCCTGTTGAACATGTAACTTCACATTAAATAAGTTACTGCTTTTGCAACATCAACCCTGTGAAGACGGCTGTGTGTGTGTGTGTGGTCGGTGCCCCTGGCACAAACCTGAATAAACAGAACAAGGGTGGGCCTGCCCTCCCGAGAGCTGCTCCTGCGGAGCCCTGCTGCTAGCAGGGGGCTGCGTGGGCCTGCCGGGCTGGGACGGGGAGAACTCTAACCCTCCTTTCCCAGGCCGGGCAGCTGACGTGATGCCGTAACGGACTGTGACTGGGCAAAGAGCAGTGAACCTTTCCCCTCCTTTGCTTGCCGAGTTGGAGAAGCGTTGCTATGAGCCATGAAACAGTCCACTCACTTCCACCTGTTTCCTTTTTCTCTGCTTAGTGTCCGGGAGGCTTACCTGCTTTGCAGTCTGAGGAACTCGGCACTTGCCTTATTTTGCAGCAACTGGGAATGATTTGGGGAGTAATTGTTTAGTATACATTCCGTTGGCATAAGTTACCTGTTCCAAAGGCGTTAGTAGTGGGTGTCCTGAAACTGGCCCAGCTTCTGAGACAGAACGTATTTGACTGGTGGTGGTTAACATTGTTAGTGGGTACGGAGGGACTAATCCTTCGCATACAGTCTAATGCACCGTTACATGAATGTTTGGCAGAATCTAACATAATTTGAGCTGACTTAAGACTCTTTCATATTTCATTTGCTCTGTGTTACCACACTGATGGCAGAAAAGAGAACCAACTTAGGCCAGCGCAAGCAACCGAACAGAACTTATGTGAGTCTGCAGGTGCCAGTGGATCTGTGGATCCCAGGAGCACAGTGTAACCAGCTCAGGGAGGGAGCAGGGACGGACTGAGAGCCGGCACTTCTCTCGCCAGCTGTCTCGGCCTCACTGGGCTATCAGTCTTCTTACCTGGATGGACCAGGTATCTCTGCTGCCCGTCTACATGGCCGACTGGCCGCCCGCAGACACTGAGCGCCTGACTGCATGGCTCCAGGCCCCCACCAGGTGGGCGAGCTCATGTGGTTCAGACGTGCGATTTGCTGTTCGCTCTGTGGATCAGAATTAATTCCCCCAACAGAAGAGGCTGTTGTGAGAAGGGGCTGCCTGGACAGGAGTCGTACACCAGCACACGGAGCTCTGTTCATTGAGAAGACATTAGAGTAGAAGTACCAGCTGGGATCAAGTTCAGGTTCTGTCTAGGCTTTGCTCCCCCACAGCCCCCAGGAAATACTTGCATATATTAGATACCCCATAAAAATAGGTATTGAGTGCTGTGAATGAATGCATCTTGTTGGTTTGTGCACCCAGTAGGACTGTTCTTGGGACTTGCACAAACCACAAGCCCTTCCCTTGTGTCTTAGCTGCGCTAGAGGGAGCCTCCTCTTCTAGACCCTCCCCTGCCACCCTGGGGTTTTCTGTGATTGGCCCCCAGTTTGTCCCACGACTCTGAACGGAAAAGCTCTTTCTATACTCTTCGTATTTCAAATACCGAAGGTAGACTTTAAAGTGACACCTAATGTACAAACCAATCGGAATGCAGGTGCATCATGGAGAAAACCATCTATGCAGAGAGTGGTGTTTCACTCTTTAAAAGACTGACTCAGTGGATAGAGCATCAGCCTGCGGACTGAAGGGTCCCGGGTTTGGTCCTGGTCAAGGACACATGCTCTGGTTGTGGGCTCAACCCCCAGTAGGGGGCGTGCAGGAGGCAGCCAATCAATGATTCTCTCTCATCATTGATGTTTCTATCTCCCTTCCTCTCTGAAATTAATAATATATATATTAAACATATATATAGATATATGTTTTAAAAAGTAGTAAAAATAAAAGACTGACTTTGTTCATCTTTTTTACTCTTGGACCTGGGTCTAATTCCAGCTTTGGGGTTTGGGTGCTGAGCAGGCCCTGCCTCGTAGTCACATCGCCCCGCCTCCGCCCTCCCCCTCTACCTTCAGCCTGTGTGTTGGGCAAACGTCCAGACCTCGGGACTCCGGCGAGCAGTCACATTCTCAGCGGTCGTGTTCATAGTGGCCCTTCACAGCAGCCGCCTGCTGGGCGTGCTCGCAGTGTCGTAGCCAAGAATATTCCCTCTTATTGTATGATTGCAGGCTTCATTGGCCCTCCCCCCAAATGTGTCCCAACAAAAGAAATCGGCGAGATGCGTGATGGGTCCGTCTTTGTCGTCTGCCCGCGGGGTGAGGGTGTCTGTGCTGCCTCAGTGATGCATGATGGTAGGTCAGCCTCGGTGTGATTGACGCCACTCACCTGGGTGTGTCTGCATCATAGTAGACACTGTCCTTTGCTGACGGTTAAAAAACAGTTGGCACAGACTCGCCCACACTGAGCGTCGTTGGCTTTGCGTGCGTCCGCGTTGACTGTTTGCTTGTCTTCCAGCGGCACGGCTACTGCACCCTGGGGGAGGCCTTCACCCGCCTGGACTTCTCGAGTGCCGTGCAGGACGTGCGCAGGTTCAGCTACGTGGTCAGAGTGAGTATTTCCTTTCCCGGGAGACACTCGATGCCTTGGCCGCTGCAGAAAGCGGCGCTCCCTCGCGGTGCAGAAATATCCCGGGAGTGGGCTCAGGAGAAGACGGCTCGGTGCCGCTCAGCACCGGCTCCACGGACTCGGGTGGGACCGGGCCGGCCTCCGCGCTTTCTGGGTTTCTCCACGCCATGCGTGCGCTCGCGCACTGTGCCAGGGAGGTGCCAGGGGAGCAGCCGTTTCCCTGCGGGTTTACCTGATGGTCCCTGCGTTTCCCACCTCACGTGTCACAGCAGAGCCTGGAACGGGGACTTCAGACAAAGGGAGCTCACAGAGCTGCTATGCTGTTGGCACCTGGCCGGACGGGGTTTGTGTCTCAGCCTCTTCCAGAAAGGGCTCTGGGCCAGGCCTCGCCTGTCCTATTTGTGTAAGAGGCCTGCTCTGCGGCTTCCTCGCCTCCTGCTGGTGCAGGGGACAGTGACGGCTCCTGCAGCTGCGGCGGGATGGGAAGACGTCTCATAGTGGCTTTCAGCCTTTAGAAACGCTACGAGAACAGATATGGATGTCAGAGGTGGGGCGGGAGGGCCTGGGTGAAAGAAGATGGAGCGTTAGCTGAAGCACATGTCTTCGGAGGGCGGGGTGGGTTTGGGGGGGAAGGGCAGGGTGGAGGTGGGCAGAGGGGACGTCACAGTGTGGTTGTGCTCATAAAGAATTTTCAATTTAGCGAATAGGTAGACACACTTCTCTCTTGTGGAACCGAAACTTCTCTTCCCGAGGAAGGCGGGTTTGATTCAGGGAAACTGCTCTGATACTTTGCATTCCCCGATGCTCTGTGGTGATGGGATCATGAAACACCTTGGCTGGGCTACAGTTGTCCGAGGGGTTTCTGATCAGCGTTGCTCCTCGGATGCTGTGACATGACGTCACTGCCCGTAGGATCCGTTTTTCAGGGATGGCTGCCAGGCAGGGTGCAAGGCCTCTGTTCCTGGGGAAAGCCCTATCTAGGGGTATCTGTGTGCTTAGGCTTACGGTTTTAGTACCAGTTAGAGAATATTTATCTTGATTAAAATTTTCTCTCGGCAGCTAAGAAGAAAGAAATGTTAGGGCGCACAGGATTGGGTAGGTCACGGGAAGCCTGGGGTAGTCGTACCTACTGGCTGGTGTCCGTTGGTTCCCGGGCACCTCACGGGATGGGTCCGGGGCTCCTTTGGCACCAGGGGGGCTGCGCAGAGGCCGCCGCCTGAGTTCTCCAGGGGTTTGTTGCCAACGGTACCTCTTTTGGAGATGGTCCTCCCTGCGTTCCGAGCATTTCATGGATCCTTTAAACAGCGAAGCCATGAAAACAATGGGAGGACGCAGTGACCAGACTGTCTGGTTATTTGAAGGTTTTGAAACTTTCTCCTAAGGACTGTGTTACGTCAGCAGCCACCAGCTTCCTCCACGGTGCACAGAGGAGCTAGAAACAGACAGGACCAGGTGCCTGCATGAGGCGGCGGGCGGGCGGGGCTGGGAGGTGCCTCTCTCTGATTTTTTCACTGAGGCTTGATTTGCCCTCCCAGCACGCGTGCTTCTCCCGAGACCTGACACCTCGCCATCTGATAGGACAGTGACACAGGTGGAGTCACGGAGCAGGTAGAACGCACTGTGCTCTGTTCCTCCGCCTACGTGGGCGTGAGCTCTGGGCATGATGGAGACAGAGGTAGAAACATGCAGACTGTGCCCCAGGGAGTCGGCAGACAGGCCTGACAACGGACAAGTGCTTCTGTTCAGACCTCCGTGATTCTACAGACTTCTTCTCGTGGAACCCCGTGACTTACATGTGTCACATGACGTTTTAAAGGAGTGGCCTTGGAGTCCAGGGAATTCTGAGGGTTTCTGCTCCTTTCTAATTGAGCTGCAGTTGGCTGTGTTGAACTTTGTGGAGGGGCCCAGTCCTGGGCTAGATTATTGTCACATCCTCACCCCGGGCACCCCAGGCAGGACTGAACAAAAGGATGAAGAACGAGCCCTCTTTACACACTTTGTTTTGTGAGTCACTTTTTTAAAAAATTTATTTTATTTTTATTGATTTCAGAGAGGAAAGGAGAGGGAGAGACAGAAACATCGATGATGAGAGAAATCATTGGTTGTCTGCCTCCTGCACGCCTTTTACTGGGGATTGAGCCTGCAACCCAGGCAGGTGCCCTTGACCGGAATCAAACCCGGGACCCTTCAGTCTGCAGGCCAATGCTCTACCCACTGAGCCGCACCAGCTGGGCAGTCTCCCCACTTTCACCATCGAGTGTGCTCCACAGACTGCCCCGGCAGCGTGCACTGGCAAGCAGGGCTCTCAATGGTCACGGTTGGCCAGTTGTTTTCTAAACCTGTGGGACCTCCTCTGCAGGAAAGCTTGGTCTTTGGAAATGAAGGACATCCCTTCTTTGTTGTAAAACAGTCCCTCCCGCGTCCCTCAGCACAGAAAGGCGTGCTCACATTCAGTTAACAACCTCCTGTTGTCGGTGCTACTCCAGGCATTTCCTGTCATTTTCCCCTGAAGGCGCTGGGACAAAGTGCACGGGTGAAATTATGTTAATGCCCCTGAAAACAAGATGGAGGAGGAAAGAGTGAGAAGCAACCATGTGGGGCCTGCTGACAGCCAAGGAAACGCTCCTCAGCCAGCAGAGGCCGAGTGCTGTCGCTCTGGTCGTGGTGGGCGGCGTGGGCGGCGTGTCTGGCTGGTGAGCGCTGTGGTGGGGGAGGCCTTTGTTCAGTCGATGGCATTGCCAGTGAAAGTGAACATCCAAGTCACTTAGAAATGGTAAGTGTCATTCTCACAGGCCAGCAAGGACCCGGTACTCTTTATTGTTCAGCTTCCAGCGTATTTATCCTGTCAGCTTGGAGTATGGCTCCGTGCAGCAACCAAGAATTCTTTCAACAAAACTAAAACTGTAAATTATGCAGCAATTCAATTTATATAAACATTAGCAGTCTTTTTTTATTGATTTGAGAGAGAGAGAGAGAGAGAGAGAGAGAGAGAAAGAAACATCAACTTGTTGTTCCGCTTATTGATGCATTCATTGGTGCTGCTTGTATGAGCCTGATGAGGATTGAACCTGCAACCTTGGCCTATCGGCAAGATGCTCCACCCACTGAGCTACCGGCCAGGGCCCAGCTAACATTCTTCCTTTCCGCCAGCACTGGAAGTTGGTGACAGGGATAAGGCCCATGGAGTGTTCATTCCCAGGGAAGGGGGGCCAGAGGGACAGTCCAGAAGGTGGGACTCCCATCCCACAGACCATCTGCTTCACGCGTTCCCAGGATGGGAAGCCGCCTCGAAGGCAGCCTGACTCCGTCTGCGTGGCGCCGGGGACCTTCGGGCAGAGGCACGGGTCCAGACTGTGGAGAGTCGGGCCGCCGAGCTGTCCAGAGAAGGAACGACTGCAGGGTTTGCCAGAAGGTTAGGACGGGGGGTTCTGCTTGGCTTCAGGAACATCCTGCTTCTGTAGGGCTTAGGTCACTTTGTTTTACTAAATGCAGTAAAATTGAGAAACTTTTTAAAGTGAGATAAAGAGATTTCAGATCTGTGATGCTGTTAGAAGCTACTCACCAGGCCTGACGGGCACACGATGGGTGGGAGGTGCCTGGTGGGGCGGACAGTGCAGACCTGCGACCAGCTCTGTCCCCTCTCTGAGCCCGTGACTTTCGGGTCATTTTCTTCATCTCCCTGGGCCTCGTCTTCTCGTCTGTAGCCTGGGATCGTAGTACTGCCTCGAAGGGGTGCTTTGGGAGTTAGGCTGATCACATCCCGTACTCCAAACTGTGCCTGTCCAGCAAGCACTCCGTGTTTCTGTTCGCTGTAAATCTACATCCTGCGGGAGCCTGAACAGCCGAACCGACTGTCTGGTGTGGCTAGTGTCTCGGTGACACTGGAGAAGTGACTTTGCCCTCAGGACCCCTGGGGCTCCTGGGCAGCACTCTGAGAATCGCTGCATTACAGTAACTCCAGCTCTGCCCTCACTCCTCTCAGGGCGGCAGTAGGGCTGTGAGCCGCTCCTTTTCCTCTGGTCGTTGAGGGGTCGGATGCAGTGCACCTGCGTGTCTGGCCCGTGTCCCTCCGGCTGCAGGGCAGTGAGTCTCTCGTGGGTCAGTTCCCTGAGCCCCATTGGCTACAGACTCACCCGTCAGGTCTCAGTCCGGCTGCGCTAGCAGGAAAGCTGCAGCTTAATCTCTGAACTCCTTGTCTCTGACTGGCTCCTCAGGAGGCGGAGAGGAGGGTGTCGCTCCGCATTGTGATGATGGCCGACCCGGAGGACTCGGAGCAGCACGGAGCTGCTGGGAACGGGCGGGAGCAGCGCTGAGGTCCAGCCGCAGGTCTGGGCCGGGTGGCTGGGCAGGCTCTCGCCTGGTCTGCCGGGTGCTGCGTGTCGTCCGTGGTCCCCGCACTGCGGGACACTCTACGTAAACGTTAGAAGCGGCAGAGGTGGTCTGTGTGGTCACATTGTAATGGACTGTGGGCTTCGCCAGCCAGTGCAGCTCTGAGCATGTGGTTAGCACTTTCTCTCCTCTGGAAGGCAGCGGAGGCGGCCGCGAGGAGGGAGGAGGGATAGAGTCCACTGGCTGAGGCTGGGCGGCAGGGAGGAGGGAGGAGGGATAGAGTCCGCTGGCTGAGGCTGGGCGGCAGGGAGGAGGGAGGAGGGATAGAGTCCACTGGCTGAGGCTGGGCAGGAGGGAGGAGGGATAGAGTCCACTGGCTGAGGCTGGGCAGGAGGGAGGAGGGATAGAGTCCACTGGCTGAGGCTGGGCAGGAGGGAGGAGGGATAGAGTCCACTGGCTGAGGCTGGGCAGGAGGGAGGAGGGATAGAGTCCACTGGCTGAGGCTGGGCGGCAGGGAGGAGGGAGGAGGGATAGAGTCCGCTGGCTGAGGCTGGGCGGCAGGGAGGAGGGATAGAGTCCACTGGCTGAGGCTGGGCAGCAGGGAGGAGGGATAGAGTCCACTGGCTGAGGCTGGGCGGCAGTGAGGAGGGAGAGAGTCCGCTGGCTGAGGCTGGGCGGCAGGGAGGAGGGATAGAGTCCACTGGCTGAGGCTTGGGCGGCAGGGAGGAGGGAGGAGGGGAGAGAGTCCGCTGGCTGAGGCTGGGCGGCGGAGGAGGAGGGAGGAGGGAGGAGGGATAGAGTCCAGTGTAGAGGCTGGGCGGCAGGGAGGAGGGAGGAGGGATAGAGTCCACTGGCTGAGGCTGGCGGCAGGGAGGAGGGAGGAGGATAGAGTCCACTTGGCTGAGGCTGGGCGC